GATGAATTATTCAGATACACTATCATACAGGAAATAAACGAAATGTAGTGAAAAGGGTGGTTTCACCAGCATTCCCAATGATACGAAAATTAAAACAAGATTGGGCTCATTCTGTAGGAAGCGCGATAACTGTTTACTTGAAATTAAGACACGGTTAAGTCACAAGTACACTTTTTCCGGTGTCACAAGTCTTGTTTTGACGGGAAACCAAGAAATTCGCTAACAGTTTAGCAGCCAGCTTGACAGGATTCCATAGGTCTGACCAAAGTGAGATCCGTCTGTTACCAGTCAACAAAGGAAACTAGCGCAAGTACACGATGCCCTCTCCAAGACAAATAGCGCCTCATTGGGTCCGAAGAATATGGTAATGAAAGCGGCACAGAAAGTGATCAGCTTAAGACTGATTTGGATTGACCACTAGTAGTGGTAATCTGGGAGCAGTTTGGCTCTATGGGGGGCATCGAATGGTATCTGGCTGAATTGGTACGGACCATCTTGTAAAAACTTATGAATCCCTGTGAGCTAAGTGGCTCACACTATAGCCCTCGACAGTTTCCCAGCTCTACATATACAGAAGTTTACAGGACTGACCGAAATGAGAACTGTCTGTGAACTGCCAACAAGGGGACTTCACGAAAGTGCAAAATGCTCCCTCTAAGACGAATAGCCCCTTGTTCTGATTCTGAAAAACAAGATAGTGAAAGTGGCATACAAAGAGATAGCTTCGGACTGGGAACCTTTCGAAATGATAATCAACTGATAGATTTTGAAAAATCGTAAATAGTAAGGCTAAAGTTCTAGTATCGGTCTATGCCAATATTAGCCAGTGAGTATCTGTGGGGAAAAATAACAACTCCGTTCGCCTTAGTACACTAGGACAGATAAACTAGGCGCTTTTCGGCGACGGGGTGGGGGGGGACACTTTGTACTTTAACTACTTCACCAGTTGCGATTTACAAGTTTCCTGGTAGAACCTGTGTGAACTCTGATGAAGCTGGAACGAGCTCGTCAAGCCACCGAAAATGGACTCTGGAATGGTTTTCCATTGATATACAAACGTTGATAGGTATTCGTTACAAAAATTGAGAAGTAATTTGACAAACTTTGGCTGCTATCATTTCGCGGCTTTACAAGATTCCAGAGGCTTTCGTTTGATGGCTCAGCACCTTGAAAGAAGTAGCGAAAGCGTAAAATCCCCCCCCCCCCTCAAACGTTGCCGAACTGCGCCGATGAATTATTCAGATACACTATCATACAGGAAATAAACGAAATGTAGTGAAAAGGTGGTTTCACCAGCATTCCCAATGATACGAAAATTAAAACAAGATTGGGCTCATTCTGTAGGAAGCGCGATAACTGTTTACTTGAAATTAAGACACGGTTAAGTCACAAGTACACTTTTTTCCGGTGTCACAAGTCTTGTTTTGACGGGAAACCAAGAAATTTCGCAAACATGATGGCAAAGTGTGACTTGGTAGGTTACGTGAACTGTGAAATAACACAGCATTTAATAATGATATCAATAAATAAACTAGATTTATTAGTGACGAATAATTGATATTTCATTAAATAATAAATTAGATAATACTAATGACAGGGGAAAAATTAGATCTATAAGCTCCTTATAATAGAGGTGGGTAGATTTGGAGAGAAGGAAGAACATACCCGTGACCCTGTTCCAGCCCTTTTCATTCTACGTGTGGTTACCGAATGAGTGTTGAGTTATGGGTAATAAGCTTCAGGATCAAAATCAGACTTCACTATCGGGCCGCGGTGACATTTGAACGTCTGCAGAAAGGATTAAGGGATGAAGGATAATGCATAAACAAAAACATAAGATAACATTTCTAAATTACAGCCTTGTTCGCTGCAGGCGAGGGCATGTCTGGCGGGATGGATTTGGCGTGACGCCAAACCCGTTTTCTTCCAGCTGTCGAGCGAGCAAGCGACAAGACTGTATCGTATCATCGTTCGTATCAGTCATTTACCATCAACTGTAGTCGCTTACGCTTAAACAACTGGTAAAGAACGGGTTTGGCGCCGCTCCAAAGCCTTCCTGGACACTCCCCTTGATCCGCAGCGAACGGGACAATACGTGAAAGCCATAGCGGCAGACAGGTTTTCATAAAACTTGGCCCACTACTGCCATTTGCTGCCACTTGACTTATCTCTACCCAGAAATAAAGTTTTGGCTCTATTTACTACCTATTAACGCTCCCCTCTTTGAAATTTGTATCAGCTTTTGATCGAGGGTTTCCCCGGGAGGGGGGGGGGGAGGGACGCTGGTTCAAAACTGATCCTATGGGGTTCCTTGAGCTCTGAACACGAATGTAAAATATGCTTGGCTCGCAACCGGAAAGCTCCCCCATCACAGCTGCCAGCGCCCACTAACCTAAAAGCATCAAATATGCTGGAAACTTGTCCCAAGTAGGAGTTTGATCGCCAGTACAAAAACTTTACATGTGGCTGATGCGAAAACACCTGGTACATACGCCATAGGGTACTAGGGTTGGCCTATATCCCCGGCTCCTAAGACGCAGGCGCTGGGTGTTTTCGCCAGTAGAGGCGATTCGCATTCAGGAAGTCAAAAAAACAATCGAGAACAACGCCTTGGCAAAACCCAAATGCTAAAGAAAAGGACGATCAAATTGGCCCAAACTCCGGAGGGTAGAACAGTGTAGGGTAAATAGTGCCTGTATCTTTTAGAGTCCGTTCATACTCTGCGTCAGCGTCTTGAGCGTACGACAGATTTTAGGCGTTTCACGTGCAGTCGTTGGAAACTCTAGAGTCCGCTAGATCGATACCTGTACTTTCCTGGTTGCTCAAAACGATGACAAAAAGTGTGGACGTGGCCTTATTTTTCTCGAAAAAGAAAACCCAAAAACTGTTGCTATTAAACAGCATACTTTTGCTTCGGTACAAGGACCAAACCATTTAATCGAATTACTGGGTTTAGTGTGGCAGTTTATTCTACAAAATCTGCAGATAACAATATTTCATGTGGAACGACGACGAAAATGCAAACATCAATCAATACCCATTATCGGCGGCATAAAGACAAATGAAACCCGTCATCATAAAGAGTTCGACGAGAACTTGGCGGTTAATCGTGCAAAGTTTCGTGAAACAATTGAAAATTCTAATAAATATCCATGAGAACATCAATACACCAAGGCACATCTCAGAACGTGCAAGTAAAGAGGAACGACTAACGAAATGAGTCATACATAGCCATGGCTGACAATGAGATTCTTATTTCACAACAATTCATAGACTGAGGAGTTGGGAAAAGAGCGCAGTTCGGCGACGGGTGAGGGGGGGGGACATCTGCAACTCCCAACTGACGTGTCGAGCCATCAAGTAGAGACCTGTGATGTCTTGTGAAATAACGAACGGCCACGAAATAATGCCAGCCAAAGTTTGTAGCACCTGTCAACTGTTGTGAAGCAATGGAATACCATACAAATACCATTTACCGTGGTGGCTTGACGAGTTTGCTCCAGCTTCACAAGAGTTCACAGGTTTTACCAGGATAAACTTGTGAACCGGAACTAGTGAAGCAGCGAATGTGCAAAATGTTCCCCCTCCCCCGTCACCAAACCACGCCGGAAAAATGTAGAAATAATGAAATGCATAGAATTGGGCCAGGTTTTATATGAATAGCCAAAATAATTCGATCTAGAAACAACGTAAATACACACACGACAATAGCTTTTTTCCCTATTGAAATAACCTCCCTGTGTAATTCATTACCATCACGTCCAGATGTTGATCACTGTGTAAGTCATGAGCAGTCATATGGAATTTTTTTCGGAAGGATGTTAGTTAACCCATAATATTGAAAGAAACGATGACTAACACGTAGAACACAAAACCCCGAATGATGTGTATTTGGAAAGACTGATGTGTCATAATGCTAGCCATGAATGATCGAGAATTTCACCACTTGTTGGGCGTGTTTTCTCATGCACATCTAACACGTATTCCAGGATATCTGTAAATAACTATCATTAAGAAAATGGATGTCGCAAATGATGATACACGCGCTCTAGTGCTCGGATTAGCCCCATCGCTTGCGCGCATATATGTTAGACGATTAGATCTACAATCCTGTTGGAGGTCCTACTTCTAGTAGCAGTTAGATTAGAGTTAGAGCCAACTAGGAGGGAATTGCAAAAGAAAAGATGATCGCTGTCAGATTAAAATGCGCCTCTAGCATACGACAGATTCTTAGGAGCGCATGTCGTTACATTTCTATAGAAGTAATCATTCATAAGTATAAAGGATAAGGTCTCCGATGCTGTTCAACCCCGTTGGGGGATGTGGAATGCATTCTATTTCAATTTGGAATCGTAACGGCTTACTGGATGTGTGGCCTGTGGCCTATACAATGACTTGCAGGGGCCAGCCGATATGCAAGCTCAGAGTAATTATCTTCCCAGACCAATCTGTCACTAATTTACTGTCCCCGGCGGTAGAAACGTGGGTGGGATCCGATCCAGGAGTCGATCCCCCAACCGCGCGAGTAATAAGCGTGCCACTTGCTAACTCAAGAACAATTGTTGAACTAAATAATGCCTCCGTGCAGTACTGGGGACGAGGATCATATTCTGAACACCCTTCTTCATCGCGCTATGACCTGGTCACAATTATGGAAACAAGTTTCAGACAGGGAACAACACGTTGTGCGAGACCCGTTAGGAAATTGTATTCAGTAACTGCTGAGGGTAAAACTATTTCTGAGTTCGGAGGTTTCCTTCCTCCCCCCCCCCCCCACTTCCCATCGATGGCAAAATCTGGGAGGATTTCCGCCGAGTCTGGTGAGAGAGCATAAGTAGTTGTGAGAGAAGCGCACCAGAGCAGATTGCGAAAGTTGTACTGATACCGCCTTCCCATCCATCTCAATGTTGTACCCCCATTACGGACTTTTAAGGGCTAGACCTTTACCCTGCTTACCTATAAAACTATTTCTTGAAGGCTTTCTCGAGCTAATATCTGTAAATTTACCGAGAAACCACACTGATTTGTTGCATCGGGGCCGACGACTCTCAGCAAATCATTAACTATTGAAAAAAGCTCAGAAGATACTAATCCACTGGATTCAGGATGCCTAACCTCTACTTAATACTACTCAATTATGTTATCGGCTACTTAGAGATCCGCTGATACCCTTTGGTTAATGAATGTCCACAATTTCAATAGGTTAATAAATGAGTATGTGAACTGGGAGAGTACATTGGAGAAAAGAGCTAACCTAGCGTTGCAGGTGTCAGATGATTGAATGGGCGTGGCAAACTCCTCTCCATCCATAATGCGAAATGCGGATCGCTTCTAGAAAGTATCACACTTAATTGATGTCTGATAGACAAACATTGTGTTATTAGCAACATGCTGGCGCAGATTCGCGTTGAGAATTAGCGGAATCTGAGGCACGCGGCCAAGAACTTAGTAACCTTCAAAGCGCCTACCTTCTCGCCCGCCTCCATGATCGTCTTCCAGCAAGCATGAGAAGCAAAATGATCCCTGACGCCCATATATCATTTTTGGTGCCTCTGAAAAAGTTCTTTAGCATGATTGTGAGTCACGTTAAAGAGTTTTCGGTTTACTAATTCAGGTACAGCGAAAATTAAGTTTCTCCTTTATAACAGTTGAAATTATTTTCATTAAATAAGTGCCTGGCGTATGAAGGTATATACAGTCGTCACAGTGAAGTCAGTTGGGCTGCGTCCGCGCGGCATGGACTTCGATGCGGCGCCGGCCTCTTCCAACCTTTCACTAGACGACTGCTAGAAAACGGACTAGCACCGCGTCAAAATTTAGTCCCTCTAACACGCCCTGAATGACTTCAGTAATAACGAATGTATGTTTTGTTCCGTGTTCCGATTCTGTTACATATTTATTCAATTTATATTTTGACCGAATTGGTTTCACTTTCTGCCATGGTCCTACCGCAGACAGATAAAATGCAGCGGCTAAATAGAGAGAGAGAGAGAGAGA